GGAACTTAAGAAGCGGCTAGGGAACGCCAAAGGACAGTGGGCCGACGAGCTTCCCAGCATCCTCTGGGCGTATCATTGCACCCCCCAATCAACAACGCAAGAAACACCTTACAGGCTAACTTACGGAGCTGACGCAATGATCCCAGTGGAAGTCGGAGAGACATCGCACCGACGCCAAGCCTTCAACAGCGAGCAGAACGCTCAAGAGTTAGCAGCCGACCTCGACCTAGTTGACGAGCTCAGAGATGAAGCTCAAATCCACGAAGAAGCCTGCAAGCTCCGAGCTTCCAGAAGATACAATACGCGAGTGCGACCTCGCTCTTTTCGAGTTGGCGACCTGGTGTGGCGTCTACTAGGCGAAGCTCAGAAAGACACATCAGATGGAAAGCTTTCACCCACCTGGGGTGGCCCATTCCGAGTTGTAGAAGACTTGGAAAATGGAGAATACCGACTGGAGGAGCTCAGCGAAAAATCCATACCACGAACTTGGAATGCCACGCATCTTAAGTTCTACTTTAGTTAAATTTTGTACGAATGAGCTGTGCACTCTTTTCCCGCCTTAGTCTTTTATCCCAAAAACAGAAAAATAAGTTTTGGCTGAGAGGGTTTTTAACGAGGCACATTCACACAACTAATAAAATAACTCATTCTTTTCATTCATATTCTCCTAACTTTAATTTTGTGATTAGACCAAGGTTGAGTTCGAACCTTGGCATACTTTACTTTATTTTACGACGAGGTCGAATCCGAACCTCGATCCGACTTACCTTGCTCTTAATTTAGGTCGAGTTCGAACTGTAACACAACATATTTCACACTACGACAAGGTCGAATTCGAACCTCGGTCCAACTCATCTCGCTCATGTTTACGGCCGAATACGAACCTTAATATAATCCACTAAAGGTCGAGTTCAAACCTTGGCAAAATCCACTCGAGGTCGAGTTCGAACCTTGGCATACCCAAGGTCGAGTTTGAACCTTGGCATACCCAAGGTCGAGTTCAAACCTTGGCATACCCAAGGTCGAGTTTGAACCTTGGCATAATCCAATCGAGGTCAAGTTTGAACCTCGGCATAACCAAGGTCGAGTTCGAACCTTGGCATAATCAAGGTCGAGTTCGAACCTTGGAAAAATTCACTTAAGGTCGAGTTCGAACCTTGGCAAAACCCACTCGAGGTCAAGTTTGAACCTCACAACGAAACATCTCAATCTCGCCCAAAGACGGATATGAACCTTGGAACAAACGACTTCGCTCCAAATCGGGTCTAAGCGCCACAAAGCACAAAAATACACAGCAAATGCTGAACGTGTTTTAAAATCGCGCAAACAGCAAAAAATCAAGCCTAAACGCGAAGTCAAAGAAAAGCACAACAACGCATAAAAAAAATACATATACACAGCAATGTTTACAAAGTTCAATACTTGAATTCAAAGAAAAAAAAATGAAGCAGAGAAAAATAAACCAAGATTATTATAAAGGTGACCTAGGCAGAGGCGTTGTCACTAGAGCTATCCTCGAGGTCATCCTCCTTCACTAGCTTCCCAAAGAGGACCTCCTTCTCCACGTGCATGGCGGAGAAGTCAAACCCTGGTGCGAGAAGCCTTGCCTGGCAAGCTGCCTTGAGGAACCCCCTCTTGTGCTCAAAGATGACGGCTCGCCTAGTCTCCTCAAGCTTCCTCTCCAGCCCCGTCTTCGCCTCCTCCAACCTTGCCAGGTCCACCTTCAGAGCAGCATTCTCCTCTGCCTGTCGGCTGAGAAGCACCTCGTCTCAAAGACGTTTCTCGGCCACTGCCACCAACTCGGCCTTCTGCACAGTGACCTCATCCTCTAAGGCGCGCACTCGAGCCCGGGAAGAGCTGGAGAGTTCCTGCAAATCGTGAACCTGAGCAGCATAAGTCTCGTTAGATCTTAGAGCGATCTCTAGAGACTTCCGGATCCTCTCCACCTCCCTCCGAGCAGCTTGAAGATCTGCCTCATTTTGCAGCTTGGCGACCCCGAGAGCTCCCGCCAAGGGCCAATTCTCATCTTTTAAAGCCTTGCTCTCCTCCCTTAAGGCCTTGGCTTCGTCCTTCAAGGGCTGAACTCGGCCCCTCAGGCTGACCAGGTCTTCCTGTTGCTTGGACCACCTATGCTTCCAGTGGTCCACAATAGTCATACTCCTCTGCAAAAAGACCTGGGCAGCGTCAAGATCTTCCACGGGCCCGACCTCTTCGATCATCCCCTGGTCCTCCGAGCTCAGCGAACCCTTGGGAAAGAACTTCTCGGCGGTCACCCCCGCACTCCACAACGAGTCCACGTCAGCAGAAGCACTCACATGGTCCAATCGCACATCAGAACGGTTCTTCCCGAAACGGTGGGCAATATACCGACTCTAGGAAGCCCCCTGCGATGGACCAGATGACGGTGCCGAGACCGTAGGAGTCGCCGTGATCGAAGCCGTATCCGGTCAAACTTATATAATTAAATGTAGTACTAGGAAGTGATTTCTAGGTCGTCTCCCAAGGACCGTCTTTTACTGTTAAAGGCTTAAACACACAATGAGGGGGTTTGTTTTCAGATTTTCAGTTTGTAACACAATAAAATGAAAACTAAGGTAGTGCTCATAACTTATAAAGTCATAAACATTAAATTTGGGAACTTTAACATAACTTATTATTTATGTAAAATTTAAAATTAATTATACATGTTACTAAAATATAATTAAAAAATACATCAATCTTTGTGATAACATATTTTGTTTGCCTTGTGTATTGCACACGTCCAAAACCTAGTAATGTAGTAGAAGGAGAAACAATTGTAAGACCTATTATTCGTTGATTAAATTGTTTATAATAACAATAAGTTGTTTTTAAAAGGAAATCTCGAATGTTCAAATCATGACTATTATATTTGATAATTGATTATATACATTTTTAAATTATTAAAAATTTTGGATGGAAAAAATTTGCATTTTTCTTTTTATTATTGTAAAGATAAAGATAAACATATATTAAAATTAAATTCATAAATTAAAATGATAAATTTACCGACATAAAAGATTGAGAAAATCCCTAAAATTACACCTATAAGAAATAACTTCAAAATATGATCTCATTAAGGAAAACCCCATACAAGTAATTGTAAAGAAGAATGATTACTTATTTTGGGAAGACAACAACAAATTCACCATAACAAATTTGGTGATGAATGAGTTTCACGTTTCTTTGAAATCAAATCCATTTGTGAGGTTAGGTATGGAAGTGTGCTACATATTCGAGATGGAAGGAAGAACAGGAAAGAAGAAAAGAGTGTCTCAAGGGATGGCCTCTACAAGCGGCAACAATGGAGAAGTCATTGATGACACACCCTTTATCATTAATTTCATATAAGAGTACAGCAGTTTGGTTGGTATTTCCCCGCCTGGTTCTCTCATGAACCCCATGTTTAGTGAAGGTAGTGCATAATTAGTTAGATTGGAGTTTTAAAAACCTTCCTAAATGTAAGAAAATAATTGTGAAGCACCATAGGCACAAAATAACTATTATCTTACATTGTTTAGTGCCTATGAGACTTCATAATTGATTTCTTACACTAAGGTTTTCAAAAAATTCAACCCTAACTAATTATTTATTATCTTTACTAAACATAGGGTTCATGGGGAACAGGAAGGGGAGTGCCACCATATTGTCACACTCTTGTGGGAAATCAATGACAATGTCATTGATGACTTCTCGATTGATGCAACTTGTAGAGGCTATCCCTTGAGACATTCTTGCCTTCTTTCCATTTCTTCCTTTCATCTCGAATATGTAGTAGATACCCATACCTGACCTCATATATGGATTTGATTTCAAAAGAAGGTGGGACTCATTCATCACCAAGTTTGTTTTGGGGAATTTGTTGTCGTTGGCTTCCCAAAATATTTAAGTATTTCTCTTCGCAAATCACCTATTTGCGAGAGAGCTCAAGTACATTGTAAGCCTTTTTCCACAGTTCTCCATTCCCCATACACAATACATATCTTTTATATATAGATAGGGATTATAATGAATTTAAGATAAAAGCTCCAACGAACATCTGCCACTGTAACACAACAGGTGCCAATAAGTTAAATAAATAATAGTAAATATAATCATTTTATTCATAATTATTAAATATAAACTATATGCGAAAGGAAATTAAGATTTATTAAATTTTTTTATATAAACTTCTAAAGTAAAATTAAATATAAAATTTGACAAATGTGAATTAATCTTGCTTCATGAAAAAATAAAGGCTTGTTAGTTTTGGGTTAAATATTCCTTTTAATCATGTCGATTATATATGCAAATATTGATACTAAATATTGAAATATAAATTAAAAAACACATATAACCTATTTAATTTTGTTTCAGTTTTATTAGATCCCTGTAATCAAATCTTGTTTAGTATTTCTAGAATAAATGCTTATTAGAATTTCAGATAGTTCATGTATAAGCATAAGCTCTCTCACAAAATGCACTTAGTGATTCATATCAATTATATCCTAATCATTTGTTTTATTTAACCATTTATAAGTTGTTCTACTTGTTGATCTTGATTGAATAACTTTTCACATTCATCACGTGCATATGATTTAGTCAATACCAAAAGTCCAAATCAAGCTCTCTTGCCTAACTTAGTTGCATCTTATGTGATCTTATAACCATGAAACTTTAAATTAGATGAATTAGCAAAGAACTCGAAAGAGAAAAGGGGATACACATTAAAAGCAAAAGATAAAAATGAATTTAGATTAATAGGTGCTCTGAGTGTCATAAAACTTTAGACCAAATCATTTTTAGGATACATATAAAACAACATTTAATTAAAACTTAAACTATGTCAAAAGTTCATTACAACAAGGCATGATGACAAAGTTAAAGAAAGATAAATCAAAAGGGTAATGTGCCTACCTACTAGTATCGATACTACTGCAAGAAATGTTTTATTAGATAATTAATATTAAAAAAATTCTTCATTTTGTGATAATTAAATTATACTACAAAGCTATAGGTAATGAAAGAACATATTAAAGGTAAGAGGGAGAAACATATGATTGAATCTTGTGTTGAGAAAGTGATAAGAAGTTACATGAATTTGGATAAAGAACTTGATTTTCTTAAGGCAAAAGTAAACGATTTGTATAAAAAAGTTTGATTAATGCATATTAAGTAATGTCTATAGTCTCTAATTTTGAACATAACCCTCCACCCATATACAAAATGATAAATTGCACCTAATTTCTCAACTCATTTTGCATAGTCATGACAAGACATCGACACCTTCAATGTTATTATTTTAATATTTGGTCAAAAGGACGATATTAATGAAGTCATCATCAATAAGATTTAGCAAATTTCTTACACTAAAAAACAGGAAACATATTAGTATCCAAAATAAATGTTTGTTTAAAAAGAAAATTTATACAATTTACTTTGTTTTTCCTTTTCTTTATTTTTTTAGAGGACCAAGGATAGATGTATGAACCAATCAAAGCAAACTCTTGTCTTTCACACACACCTTTAGAACATGACACTTAGAGCTTTGAGAAACAAACATAAATATGGTTTGTAAGGAAATAAAGGTATTATGATATGCTCAACAAAAGGAAGGGTACCATCTCATAAGGATATGTTCAAATTCTTGGCTTTCACACACACCCTTGGAGCATGACACTTGGAGCTTTGAGAAAGAAATACAAATATGGTGTGTAAGGAGATGAAGGTATTGGGATATGATCAATAGAAACCCTTTTATAAAGTGGAACAATCCTAAAATAAATGTTAAACTCACCATTCAAAAACATGAAAAATAATTCAACTACAAGAAAATCAAGGGATTTTTTTAAAAGTTTACCATAATGCATGCACATAAAGCATAAACAAAAAGTAGTTAAGTTTAAAGGATTCATTGTATGTATATGCTATAAAATATGTTTCGATCCTCAATTAGAAAGCTATTTTCCAGTGAGTCATACCTTTCGTATTAAATCCATCTCATGAAGCAAAACTAACTAAATTGACCCTTACTCGTTCCACCTTTGTTGAGTAGCATATACTTGGTTGAAATATGGCAAGCATAAAGTAAATCATTAGGAAAAAAATAGGCAAGAAAAAAAAAACCAATCCTCGGTACCTGATAATTCTCAAATGCATAATTCCTTCATAGTAACTAAATATGATTTATAAAGATTTTGGATGATTTCTTCATGGTGTGCCTAAGTAGAAACAATTATTGTGTTCCTTGTGACTCAAGGCCAATGCACGAATTTCATTACCTACACCAACATTCGACAATGAAATAAAGTAAAGATGACACCTAATAAAAATCTTCAAATAGGACTAAAAAAAGAGTTTTGTAGCAATAAAATGACTAGAGTCTCCCCCAAAAGTGGATATGTTACATCTGCACCTAAGATTAATGTTGGTTTATCATACATATAAAGGATTCATCTCAAAATTGCATCACTAAATGTTGTGTTACCACCATCAACTTATATATATAATCAATAAAGACTCATTTCCAATTTAAAAGCAATCAAATAAATTTATTGAAACAAAAGTTATTTATTGTATAAATTTAAACTTCGCATTTATCTTGAGCATCACAAGAACAAGATAATTTGTATTCTACTTCAAAAATTTCTATTAGTTTACAATATTGAGATAATATTCCTAGTTTAGTTTCACATATATGTCTTATTTTTCCTTTAAGATTTAACATGATAAAACTAAATTAGAGTGTTCAATTTGAACTTAGAAAAAAATTATTATGAGACCCCTTGAAATCAAGTAAAATTATTAACAACAAAAAAAAGACTATTTTGCTTTTCCTTTGCTTACATGTACAAGATTAATCAAGACAATTAATATTTTTCATATTAAAGCTTCATATACTAAGTGAAATATAACTACTTGAAAATTCTTCATAAAATGCTCAGATCCATTAGAGAAGTTTAAATACTTTAATTCTTCCTCACTTGAATTAAACACTAAATTTAACATTGCTACTTGTTGTGGCATAAAGAACTTTTAGCATAAAAAAGATTTTGTAATGCATCAATAACTATTTTTAAGGCATCAATTTATTATTGTTTTAAAGGGAAAAATGAAATAAATAATTAGGAAAAAAGGAAATTGAACCTGTCTTTGTTAAACATTCTTTCATAGATCGTTTTCGCATTTCACAAATGACAAGTAGCTACTTGCAAACAAGATGTTTCTGAATGAGGATTCAAAGCAATTTGCAAGGTACTTCAACCTCATGGGATTAGCATGGGCCATAAGGAGATCCCGCACCAATTTTCGCAACAATAGTTGTGCGACAATGATCTACTCCTCAAACATCTTGCTTGGCCGCTTGCAACTCTAACATCAAGTTTCTAAGAGGCAAAAGCACATAAGTGAGCAATACAAACAAATTAGGTTTTTAAAACCCTAATAACCCTACAAATGATTTGGGCCCAAGGAGTTCAAAGCCCAACCTTTTTTTTTAAGAGAACATGTTAGCTTATTACACTATTATTTTATTAAAATCAATTTTTTTTTTATTTTTTTAGCTCATGATGTTCAAAAGATTTATTATTTAATTAATATTATTAAAATGAATATTTTTAATATATAATTTTTTTAAAAAACTTGAGTTCTTACATGATGCATATTTCTATTTGATAATCTCAAAAGGGTAAAAATATATTATTTTTGTTGAAAAGGGTGAAAATATTTATAATCATGCTACATAACCGTGATACTTATAAAATGTTATCAAGTTGTTGGATCTTTTACTTAAAAATTCAACATAATCATACAAATATAATACTATAATATACTTAAAGCAACAATAAATGTGATTCATGTTAAAAATGAATACATGTTGGTACACTTATTTATTTATTAGGATTAGAATTTAACTTCTTTTTTAAAAAAAATGTATAAATGTATGTTACCTTAAAAGTGTATCCTTTTAATGTTGTGACAATAATGTATAGAAAATGTTGTTGAGATGATGGAGATTGTTAGAGATGATAGGACATCTTGAAGACTCCTGAAGATTGTTTTAGTTTTGATGATGTATTGTATATATGTTGCTTAAGCCTATGCTAAAGGATATTCTATTGATTGTAATAGATATAGGCATGTGTATGTGTTTATTTATGTTTGATGATGATGATGAATGCTTAATTCAAGAACTAATCAAGTTTTTTAAGAAACCAAGAATTTGATTTTTTAGTATTTCCATGTATAAACATAAAGTAATAGATTATCATGAAAAGGTAATTTACTATCAAGTGTTTAAACATAGAAATATGACTTGATTCAAACAATAATTTTCAAGGAAACATTGTTAATCAATTACCATTCAAGGTAATAGATTACCAAGTCTGTTACTAGAAAAGGATATTTAAATGTCCTCTGTATTAATAAATTACCAAGTCTGTTACTGAAAAAAGATTTTCAAGTGTTTTCTGAGGTAACAGATTACCAAAGTTGGTAATAAATTAAAATAAACTCTCTTCTTTGAAACAAGGTTGAAGAATTAAGTTTTTTTTTTATCAGGATAATCAATTGCCACATGAGATAATTTATTACCATAAAGTGAAACACTAGGTCTTAAAAAGCTTGGGATAATTGATTACCATATCCCATAATCGATTACTGTGACACCCTCTACCCCAACATACATATACAGTAATTATAAAAATATATATATAATTTTACATCAATAAAAATCAAATTTCCAACTACGTAAGGGTAAAATGTTCACATTCACAAACTTAATCCAAATAACATGTAGAGAAATTAACATGCACACAAGGATCAAAAGGTCTTTTTATGGTTGTAATGAGGCCAAGGACAAGATAGAGGATAATATATGGGATAAGTAACTACAAACCAGAGGAACCAGAGGAGCAATGGGGAATAAGTCAAGAATACGCACAAGAAACAAACCCAGAAACCTCTAATGACCTCTATGATAATCAATCCTCTTTCTCTTGCCTCAAACAACTTCTCTTTTTTGTTTTTTGAGGATGAGGAGAATAATAATTTTTGGATTAAATCCAAAATATAATGGGATTATTACCGCCATTAGAGGTTGGGCCACAAAACCCACCTTGATAGAGTTAGAAAGTATTTTGGCAAATCAAGAAGCTTTAGACAATCAAATGTCTAAAGTATCAATTAATGAGGAAGACAAGGCTCTTTTTAGTAAAAAGGGAGGCCGAAAGGAGGTTCAGGCAGCTGCAAATTCAGATAGCGAAAGTAAAGGCCCACAAAGAAGACAAGGTTGGCAAAAAGGTCAACATAAGAAGGGTCCAGAGCAAAGGGGAGGTACGCAATCCCGATTCAGAGACTACGAAGAACAAAAGAGATATCGGCGCAAGGACGGACTATGTTACAACTGTGGTAAAAAGGGCCACTATGCACGAGATTGCTGGGCCAGGAAAGAAGAAGGCAACGCAGTCACACTTAAGCAAGATGAGAACGAAGAAGAATAGAGGTCAACAATGTCTACCATGTACCCGGGATAAAGAAGAATTTATTATCAGTTTCACAATTGACAGCTTCTGGCAATTATGTGGTATTTGGGCCAAAAGATGTAGGAGTGTATCGAAGGTTCAAGCCTATATGTCCTACAATTATGAAAGGAAGGCGATTAGAGTCTGTCTATGTAATGTCAGCACAAGAGGCATACGTGAACAAGGCAAGGAAGAATGAGACAGCAGATCTATGGCACGCGAGACTTGGACACGTAAGCTATAATCGATTAAAAGCAATGATGAAACAGTCCATGCTAAGAGGCTTACCAAACTTGGAGATGCGAGAGAATGTCGTTTGCGTTGGATGTCAATATGGGAAAGCTCACGAGCTTCCATATGAAGAGTCAAAATATAAGGCTAAGGCACCATTGGAATTGGTGCACTCGGATGTGTTTGGACCGGTGAAACAGCTATCGATCAGCAAGAATAAATATATGATCACAATTATCGATGACTATTCCAGGTACGTGTGGGTATACTTTTTGAAGGAAAAATCTGAAGCACTAAAGAAGTTTATAGAGTTCAAAGAAAAGATTGAGAAAGAGGTTGGACGTATGATACGGTGCTTGCGTACGGACAACGGGGGAGAATATACATCAAAGGAGTTCAACCAATACTTACAAAAATGTGGCATAAGGAGGCAGTTGACATGCCAGAACACCCTACAACAAAATGGAATCATAGAGAGAAAGAATAGGCACCTGGTAAAGACATGCAGGAGCATGTTACATAGTAAAAATGTACCACCAAGATTTTGGACGGAGTGCATGAAGACCTCTGCTTACGTCATTAATAGATTACCCCAGGCAAGACTAGGTTTCGTTTCACCACATGAGAAGTTGTGGAACACAAAACCTTCGGTGAGTTACTTCCGAGTGTTTGGATGTGTGTGCTATGTTTTCATGCCAGGCCAAGAACGCAGCAAGTTCGAGAAGAAAGCAATCCGGTGTATATTCGTTGGATATGACAGCCAACGAAAAGGATGGAGGTGTTGCAATCCGACGACCGGAAGGTGCTACGTATCCAGGAATGTGGTGTTTGATGAAGCATCATCGTGGTGGTCTTCACAAGCAGTATCGCTACCAGATACAAAGAAAATTTAAGAGCAAGTGCAAAAGCAAAAAGAGGTGCAACGCGAAGATAAAGAAATAGTACATGACGTCGAATTTTTGCCTGGACAAACTAGAGCAATATCTTTAGAGAAAGAGAAAAGCCCTTGGAAGACAGGTATTTACACTAGGTTTACAGAGGACGAGAGACCTAGTTAGATGGAGGAATTAGAGGAGGAGGTTCCTCAACCTCAGCGAAGGAGATCAACAAGGACTCGAAAGCCAAATCCAAAATATGCGAATGCAGCATTAGTATAAGACAATGAAATTAAGGAACCAAACAACTATGAGGAAGCATCTCAACATAAAGAGTGGAGATATGCGATGGAAGAAGAGATCAAGGCGTTGAAACAAAATGAAACATGGGAGTTAGTGCCAAGACCATCCAGTGTGCAACCCATTTCATGTAAGTGGGTATACAAGGTGAAGACCCGTCCAGATGGGACGATAGAGAGATACAAGGCTTGACTGGTGGCTCGAGGTTTTTCACAAAAGTATGGACTAGACTATGATGAGACGTTCAACCCAATTGCCAAGATAACTACAGTACGTGTATTGTTAGCACTGGCAGCAAGCAAATCATGGAAGCTCTGGCAAATAGATGTTAAAAATGCGTTTCTGCACGGAGAACTAGACCGAGAGATATACATGGAGCAACCAAGGGGATTTGAGAGCACAGGTCATCCAACTTATGTGTGCAAATTGAAGAAAGCTTTGTATGGTTTAAAGCAAGCCCCTAGAGCATGGTATAGGATGATTGCTGAATTCTTGGTGCAAAATGGATACGCCATCACCAGCAGATTCAAGTTTATTCGTGAAAGAACAAAAGGGTAAGTTGGCCATAGTGCTACTCTACATGGATGATCTCATTATCATTGGAGATGATAAAAAAGAGGTTCATCAAATAAAGAGTAATCTATCAGTACGCTTCCAGATGAAAGAACTTGGGGAATTGAAGCATTTTTTAGGACTTGAAGTTGAAAGAAGAAAAGACGGAATATTTCTATGTCAACAAAAATATGCCCAAGAATTGCCTGATAGTTTTATGTTCTTGGTTCAATTTTAAAAGTTGGTAATAGATTACCTCTGTTATTACTCTTTATAATTCAATAACGTCTTGCACTTTAAATATCTATCTTTTATGTAATTAAAAGAGAACATTTTTATAGAATCTTTTTGAAAAAGAATATTAGAGAAAAATAATACTTTTAGAAACAAGAATAAAAGACTGATCAAAGAATTTTTCTGAAATACTAGGAAGTGCAAAGATTGAACATATGTTCTTGAAAGAAGAAATTCAAGAAGTGAATTCAATTATGAAAGATCAATGTCTACATGAAATAGGTGATATCTTTTGATCTTTTAACATGTATTTTCGTTTTGTATGAGATGTATCTCTTGAAATAGGGTGTCTCAATAAGAGATCTTCAAATCTTGAGTGAGAATTCTCAAGTAATTTCTGTAGAGTATAGAAATTTATGTGTTTTCAGTCTTGTAGTTTCAAGATTGATGTGTTTTTGAATTCTTACAATATTGTGTGTTCATGGTGTTTGTAAACAATATTATAGTGAATGATCTTTGATTTAGTGGGGTGCTGAATCAGAGAAATTGGATTTGGCCAAGTGGTTGGTTGAACCAGTATAACTTTTTGTATTTTTTATCTTCTTACCCTTATCTCTTTAAGAATCTTGATAATTTCTTGCTTAAAGAATTCAAAGACTTGTGAGATATGATATTTCAATTGTCGTATATACTTGGAG